TACATAATAAGTAGTGCCAAACAGAATATTTGTGGGGAAACATGAAAAGGAAGTAAACAGGATGCTACCACTAAACTTCACATCAGAGACTGCCAGTGGCTTTTATATATATATGTATGTGTTTGTATATATATGTATATATATGTATATATATGTATATATTTTAATCTTTACATACTTATGGAAAGAAAATGCGATGACTGAAAAGAACAAAATCATAGCTGCAAGCTTTTAAGGCCTGCTCAGCAAGCGAAAATAAATTTAGAAGCATAAACCTAAGTAACTTAACAAATAAAGTAGTTCAACAAGCAACCCCAACTCTCAGAAACTGTATAGGAAGTTCTCTGCTTCCAAAGTGTTCCCTTCTTTCAGCTTTCCAGTTTTGTAACGGCATATCTGTTTTGCAGGTGTTCAAGGTGGGCAGAAACGCAGCTGAAATTAATGCTTTGCATGGTCTAAAGAACACTTCCAGCAGAAACAAGTCCCCTGCCTGGCCACTCACTGTCAAGTGAAAGACACTGCTGCTTTGTCTGACAAACTTTGCTGCACTGCTGCCAAAATTTACTTCTCTTCTCAGACTGACCCTTTCCCTCTTCACTGTCCCAACCAACCTGTCCTGTTCTCCCACTTCAAAGGTAGGGAGGGAGTCCAGCCCGTCAAAACAATGAGGTCAGATTTTCTGCCTACCTCCCGGAGCATCTTTTCAAGCACATCTGGATACTGGCTATATAAAACAGATAAAACTGAGACTGAGACTGAGAGAGACTTTCCTCTTAGATGCACTCTGCAAACCGCACCCCAGATAGGCTAATTAAGTCTTGGTCTACTTCACATAACAACAGAAAACTGGCCTTCTGTAGGGGATTATGCACAGTATATAGAGAGTGCAATTTACACTTGTCCAGCACTTTCCAGTAGTCCAGTGCTCAGTCATTTTGTGTAATCACAGTAAATCCAGCATATCTGAATCACACAGGCTTCAAAAACTGTGCACAGCCTACACATATGCAGCGACTACATCCCTACAGCTGCTAGTCATCAGCCCAGCTGGAGCTTGGTAAACCCAGGATATGGTTCATCCACTGTGCTGTTTACCTGCATGTTTTCCATTAGTCCTTCCTTCACAACCTGCTCGTCTGACCTTGATAGTATGTGACACAAGATCCCCAGTTTTACAGGCTCCCTGGACACAATCAAAAAAAAAAAAAATCACAGATAAACAGTCCAGTTCCAAATTCCCTCCTTATCTCACCAGTCCTGTCATAATCTTCATCTCCTGTGTGACTCAGTTTTCTTCGTGGCAGTATACCAGCTACTTCACTGAAGTCCTGGGAGATCCCATCTTTCTTGTCAAAGATAAGTTATTTTATAAAATAAGTACATACCATTGTTCTGACATGATCTACTTTGGTTAAAACCCTGTTACTTTTTACTTTATTTCCACTTGCCTCTAAGTCCTCCAAATTTGGTGTAAAGCCTCCACTTCTATCGAGGTCAGGTTAACAGCTCTGAGAAGCTTACGGGCCTCAGTAACAAAGCTGCAGTTTGTTGGCTGATCTGCAGGACGGCCAACGAAGAACCAGCACGTTTGAGGCCTCCACACCACACAAATTCAGGTTTTCTTTAAAGTAATTTGCCTTCTCCACTTGCAACGCAATCCCAAAGAAAGCATTACACAGCAGTGAAATCATGAGTGTCAAAGTGTTATTTACACTTTGATTGCAAGAGAACATTTTTGCTAGCTATGCTCACTATTTGTTTGCTGTGGTGTCACCTCCTGTGGGGGGGGGTGTGTGGAAGGTATTAGGCACATCAACGCTAGCACCACTTCTTTATATAACAACGTAACCATTTAAAGTGTGATCACTGGCACTGCAGATCAAAATAAGGCAGCTGATGAAACTGAAGTTTGAGAGCGTGAGATAACTTTTCTTCTTTCTTCAATTAGAATGTAAAGTTTCAATCCTGCAGTTCATCCACATGCCTGCAAACTGAGCCAAATCCTCTAGCCGGTGCCAAGTTTGCCACATGTATTAGACTGGGGTCATTTCAGGTGTGATTTTACAGACTTCCACGCAATAAGGCCATGATAAATTCAGTTAAAAGAAAAATAGGTAAGTGGGCTAAGTGTCTCACCCAGGCTTTAGGACATGGTAGAAAATTAAACGGCTCTTATAACCTCCCTGCAATAAACAAACCAGACAAGTTAAAAAAAAAAAAGAAGGGGAAGCCAGGGCTGCCAAAAACATACTGACTTGAACAAAAAGGTGTACCCGGAGACCTGAAGAGAGCTAGAGCAGAACGATGGCAGGCATCATCCACAGGGAGCGAGCTCCTCAGACAAGCTGCCTGAACTGAAAAAGCCCTGTTCTCCCAGCTCAATCGGATGGGACTGCAGGATGAAGAACCAGACAGCCGGAGCGTCCTTGACTGCCTGCCTGAGGAGTTGAGGGATGGTCACTCAAGCGCTTTTAAGGAAGATGATTCTAGGTGTTTCGTCTGTTACTGAACCGAACGGCTTATCTAATGCTGTAAGAGGTGCACAGAAGCCAGACACTTTTTCACAGTCACTATACTGCATGCCCAAATCACTCTGGGCTCTGTGGGAAAAAGAATGGCTATCTCCAAAACCACAAGCATTTACAGTAAAACAAGTCTTCATTGTCTGTTAGCAACACTCAGCCTGCAACGTTCACCTGGAGCGTTCTGACATGCACTAGTGGGGTTTAAGGATTTTAGTGTTTTATATTACAAGTTATTACTAACCATCTTTATTACCATAACATTTAGAGACCTAATGTGACAACACAATATGCTACAAGTTGTACACAGATAACATTTCTCCTGTTCTGAAAAGCACACAGGCTAGATACATAAGTCATAGGCTACGAACTACTATTTATCTTCCCAAAACAACATTCATACATACGAGGTTTTTTTATATTGCTCAAATCTAGCCCAAGTCAGTTGTAACTGACAAATCTGGGCTTCCGACAGCTATTCAGCATTGTGGCTGCAGAGCCTGACTATACTTGCCAACGGGTTTCGAGATTCTACCTCAATACAAACAATAAACAATATTAATTAAATACACAAAAAGCACGCTGAAAAGAACATTAATGAAATCTACCATTTAAGCATTTAAAAGCCAGAAAACGCCAAAGTGAATGTCAGCTGCATCACCTTAATCAAAGCCCTTTACATATACGCACCTTATAAGAGTTTTTAATTATCTGAGTGGGTGCTATTTTTCCAGATCCCTGCTCCCTCATTCGGCTCACAAAACGAGCAGCGCTCACTTAAGGCAAGATTTGTGCTTCCTATCTTTACGCACCAAATTTAGGCAATTTGAATCTTAAATAAGCTGAATCTCCTTTTGAAATACAGATCTTAACGGCACTGAATGTACAAGCAGACCATAATTTAGATATCTCAGGAAGGTGAAAGGAAGTTATTCCTTTAATGAAATAGCGGCTCAATTGTTTTCCTCCGTATTTTACGTATGCCTTATTTACAGCAAGTTGGCCAAACCTAAAGACAGAAAATATGAATTTACTCTATAGTTTTCAATGATTTTCATCACAGTAGCATTTCAGCACTTCCTTCTTAATTTGTTTTTACAATATCCTACAAGGGGAAGAAGTGATATCTCCAGTCTTATAGGGAACAGTTCTTGTTCACTCAGTGTCTCACTCCCCGTACATCCTGTTTTGTTTGTCCAACACAATTATCCCCACAGACCTTTTTGGCAAATCTGTCTCCACTCCCCCACAGCTAGTCCCAACTTCTTCATAAGGCCAGTCCTAGTTTCTTGTTCACATCCCCTCTCTCCTACCCTATTCTCATCCAGTCTCTGTCATTCTCCCCACCTACTGTTTTATCTTACAGCTCAAGTTCAGTACATCTCCCCAGGACACGAGAGGTGAGATTTTTTTGTCAAGGGTTTCAGACTTGGCCAAATTTAGGTCAATTTTCACAGGCATAAAGAGGCACACTCCCAACACGCTGTCCATCCTCTTGCCAAACCGAAAAACACGGAAGAGTTTTTCAGATAAGTCACTGCCAGTATTGTAAGACTTAAAAACAGACCTATTCTCCTCCTTTCATTCTGGGAAACAGCTGAGCTGCTCTGGTTGAAATTTCAGGTGAAGGGAGGACAGTGGGGAGAGTCAGCCCACAACAAACCCTTGGCTGAAAAAACATTTGCCTGAAGACTGAAAATTTCCTAAATTTATAAGCAACTGAAAGCAGGGTCTTTTAATTGGAATTGCCTGGCAGCCTTAAAAAAAGGCACTTCTACAAGGTTCACCTACAGTTAGAGCTAATTAAAACTAAATAGGTGGCTCAAACAGAGGCCACATTACAGCTGGTCAAGTGAAAACACATTTTTATGGCAAATGATGCTTTTTTTCATGGCCTCTGTATAAGCAAACGATCTGGAGGATATGGAGTCTCTACCTTTTTTCTCCTCAACAGCTGTGATCACACTGGCAAGACCTGAGTCACATTTCTGAAGAAATTTGCAAAGTTATGGTCTACTGACTTCCGGTTTATTAGATTCATCTTAGACTATAAACACTAAGGCAATTAACTACATTTTCACACGTGCCTGCTGAATACATAGCCCAAGGGGGATCCATGCACCTAACTATTAAATGCTTTGAACGCCTTGTATCCTTTAGCATACAAAGGCTATCCCTTTTTATCTCACACTTTTTTTTTTTTTTTAATCAGAAACAGCAGCATTCATTTTCTGTGCAGTGTTACCATCTCCTTGATTCAATTTCTGGATACTGCCTTAAAATTTAAGTATTTATTATCCTTGTTATTGGCGGCTTAACGGTTTGACATTGCAGAATTGGACTGGAGTGAGCCCTTTCAAAAATACTGACTCAGAATCCCACAACACCAAGGGTTTTTTCTGGTAAAGCTCTATCTCATAAACAAGATCAGATTCTGTCCCACTAAGGTGTTCTTACTTATGAAAGAAAGCATGCATCTTTCCTCCTTTGCTGAGGCGACTTTCACGTTCAGTTTTCTTCCAACATGCAAGCCAGTTTTCCCATATCCTGGCTCCGTCTGATTTTACTTTTGAGGGATCGGACGGATGATTCTGCCTAGAGCAGACCAGGAGAGAGACTGCATTACTGAGATCCTCTGTTTGAAATCATCCACAGCAGATTAATTATAACGCATTGTTCCTATTTGTATCTGTGGCCTAGACAAATCCTGCAGTGTCAGTTTTGATTTGGAACAGCCGAGTAAACTCTGATACAATTAGTAACTTGACTTTTGTTTTCCTTTAGGATTGCTTCCCAGGTTTCTTGGAAGCGGTCATATTTTAGTGAGGAAGAGTATTATAATCCTCAATTGTAATCTTGATTTTTTAACTGTTACTCTGGGAACATAACTGATAACAGGACTGGAAAGGAAGCCTTGCATCATGGATTTGTTTTCTCCTGCTACTAGAAGCATCAGAATCCAAGCTTAAAATTAATTTATTTGGTTTTGGCTTAGAAAACGACTTCTTTGCACTTTACACTTGCATCCTTCCATTCGTTCTTGTGTCAATATTGTCTTTTACCTTAAAAAGGTCCTCTTCCCTGCTGAGTATTTGCTTCCTCCATGTTTTTGAGGCAGCAACCAGAGCCATTTTAAGACTTTATTCGCCTTCGTATGGCAAATGCCTGCATATGACCACACGCTGGCGGATAGCACACAAGCAACTGACGACTGCACCTACATCTTTCACCTCATCTCTTTCTGCAAATTGACAAATCAATATATCAAATTTTTGTCATTAGTACCCAGTACATGACTTTGCAATTCATACCATCAAATTTCATCCAATTTCCATTACTCCAGTGCTCAAGATTATGCAGTTCTTCCTAGATGATGTTCTAATCCTCCTTCGTTTTGATGCTGCCTTTCAATTTTACGTCATCAGTAAATGTAATTAGCAAATTCCTACTTGCCTGGGATTCAGAGTTATTAGCCCTGAAAATGTTATTAATTTATTGTTTTCGTTTGTTTCATTTGTATTGTATTACTGCACTCTGGCTTTGCTACAAATGCGCGACACAACTATAACCACGTAAATCTAATTAAAAAAAAGTGCTTATCTAAGTAGCGCAGTTGTTACTGCTCCTGTCACTTTTTCTATCACAGACTTTCTATCAACTTGTAAATCGTAATTGTTCAGGATTACTTAGCCACTAGGCAGACTGGGAAACTGTGATGGTACTCCAGTTCAATTCCCCAACCGTATCCCAACTGAAGTGAAACAATATCATTTTTTAAGTTCAGCAATATCACCCACTTGGAAAAATTAGTTCCGAGAAACATGAACAGCTTCATTTCTTCTACGCTTTCTGGAAACTAAATTCAATCACATACTGAATTGTTTTTTGAAATCCTGAGCGCTAGAACTCAGAGAAGGTGGGAGAAACGGGTGTTGAACAAAAATGAACAAAGGCTCCAATTCTGTGAAACTAGTGGTATTACAGAAAATTAGCAATTGTCTGTACTTAAGTAGTGGCTGAACTTGACACCAAAGTAACCTTCGTTGAAAGGTGACGTGGAAATTCAGTCTTCAGGAATTTTAACACTGCACCTCACAACTGCCTAACACTCACATAAAGAGACAGAAACTGAGAATAACTGAGAAGCGGCAGGCTTGACACAGAAGGTTTTGCTCGAAGATCTGGTGTCTCAATGTTGCCCTGCAAGTTACCTCTTATTATCTGTCTTCAAGGATGATGCCTAAAAACGTACTGAAAAAAGATAAAAGTCATTGGGCATCAAGAGACTTTCTTACCCTCATGAAAACTTTCAAAGCTCCAATTGACTCAGCTGGATCAAACTTGACTCCAGAGCAAGTAGCAAAGCTATTTCTCACTTTTAAGTCCAATACCCAAGCAGCAGCAGCTGGAGGTAAGAAACAACAAACCAAATCACACTCACTACTGGTCACCTAGGCACAGATTGTGCTCTCTATACACGATGAGTTGGGTTACGCTTTCTGGTATCGCAGTTTACTAATAACATGAAGTGGATGGAGGGAATATCAGGGTAGCAGGGGAAGGGATTGGTTCCATACCTACTTTGATCTTGTGAGCATGGTACGAACTTGGGAGTCAAGTCTAGATGCTACTTAATTCCGCAACGTAATTCACATCCTTTCCGTGATCTCGCGCAAGACGTTTTACATATCTGTTGATTGACTAACCAGTAAAATGAGTAATTTTCTACTGCATCTCATAAGAGCGCTATGAAACATGCTTTTAACGTTTGCAAAATGTTCCAAGATCATTGTTATTAACAGTTCTTTGTATGATAGTGGGGTTAGAGACACCCAAGTGCTTATGTTGTAAACAGACTCACAGAAGGATGCAGGCAAGCAGCACAGAGGTCAAACCAAGACCACAACACAAGTTAATAATACAAAAAGGATTAGACCGCACATCTCCTAACTTACACACCAACGCTTTTGCTACCCAGTTATCTCATCCCTCACAACTAAATTAGGACTACTATATAGAAAGCACTCTACTCAACACCTCCTTTTACAATGGAAAAAATATACATTTAAGCGTAAAAATAAAAACAAACAAAAGATCCCCAGCAGAAAAAGTACTGTACCTGAGCAAAACGAAAGAAACGCACTTGCGTTAATAAAGCTTTCATCTCATTAAGCTTTCAAAGCAATTATGTGAACATAATAACGATGAACAGGCAGGCGATATCTCTTAGCACTAGAAGCAGCAACTACACTAACGTAAACTTCTGCCATGGGGAGCCACTCACTTAAATTGATACTCACGTCTAATATTGAAGTTCTCCTTTGCTTCAACTTCAGGGTATTAGAGGCAGAAAAAGAACAGCAGTGCCTTCTCAACAGGGAATCCAGCAAAGATTAGCTTAGAAAATGCTCTCTCTAAAGGAAATCACAAAGAGCATGGGTATGGTACAGCTCAAGCAGAAGAGGTAAACATAAACCAGACCTAAGTTAGAGTTAGGTTCCTTTTCCTCACCTCCACGTTCTTTCCTTTGGCATCAGAGCCAGCTAAAAGTTGTGATCATTCCCCTTATAAGTGTTTCTTCACTCACCTTTGGTCAAGCTCGTTGCTGCAGCCGTCTACTTCGAACCGTCCTGAGACTATGTGTTGCCTCCTTTTTTCCTCTTAAAATCTTTCATCACCTACTCATTAAGAAAAGGAGAGCTCCCATTTGCCTTCTGAACTACTGCTATTGTACTTTTGGGGCTATAAGCAACACATGAGTCATTATCACTGTAACAATTGGGAGAGAAAACAAAAGAGCTCACTTCTTTCCCACAGAGAAGTTTCTGGCACATTTGATATCATATGTTATTTGACAAATTCTTTCATGCTTGTCAAGGGAATGTGATGTCTGATAGCAGGTTCAGAAAGGCGCTTGGCATTTATGTGTCTACATCAGTGAGTTGATTTATATTAGAATATACAGTTCACCTCCACTTAAACATTAATTCAATAACTGCTTTGCCAGAGCCAAAACTTCGCTTTGCTAACAAGTGCAAAAGGAAACGCTAACAGGAGCCCCTGTGCCCACACAATACAGTGAACGCTACTCACAACCCAGACCAGTGAGAACAATGGCAAAAACGAATATGAACAAAGTTGAAAAGTTTTCACAGGGTTTAAGCGTACTGCTAAAAGTAAGACAGTGTGCTAAAAGACTGCTGGACTCCAAGTCATCTAACAGCAAAATACAAATGTTTATTTAAATATAATTTAATATTACATGAGACAACAGTCCCTCTTAACTTTCTTTCCAGCCTTGAAACTTTTTTTTTTTTTTTTTTTTACACAAAAATACTAATGTGAGCCTCTCTAACCCAGTGGCAATTTCTTTGTTGGTTTTGCTCCAAGGTACTTTGCACAGAGCCAAAGCTGACCATCAGTAGCAGCAACTGAAATCCATTACTGTAGCCTCCTTTCCAAGTTTAACAGAACACTGCATTTTGCTTTTACATAATTATTTTTTTCTCAGAAGCACCCACAGGTAAAAAGATAACACAGCAATAATATTTTTCTTGTTGATGATCTACGGGACTGTGCATAATAAACAGAAGCAGAATTCAGTCTGAAAACTGTTTTGGGTACTACTGTTTTAAATAGACTTGAAATCTAGTCATTTTACCTCAAGGCCTTCTACCAGTTTTTCAGCATTTACAATTGCTTATAAGTATGGTTCTAAGTTATCTTACATAACTAAGTAAAGTATTATTGAATGTAAGCAATTAATAAAAATGCTCACACTGATCTCCTTATCATTTCAGGACATCTTAATAATTCTGTCAGGTAGAACTTTTTTTTTAAATACTAAAATAGAACTTCAATTGATAACAACAGCCTTGCAGGAGCAGTAAGCTACTTAAGAGGATACAGAAAAAGGGATACATAGAGCACTGCAGAACTACTACAAACATGGCTGAAGAAATATCATTAGCAAACAGACTTTTTAGGCCTAGCGAGTAGGCATGCCACCTGCATTTAAATGCATTTATAGTTTAAGACACGTGTAAACTAGTTGGAAACAATAGCATGGAAAGGTATGGCAAGTAATCCTGAAGAAAGCATTTGGATTTTAGCTCTATTACCAGTAATAAGTCAGAAGAGATCTACCCTAAAGGCCTACCTCTCTTTTGCAGGCCTAGAGTTTAGAAAAATATTTTGAAAAATTTTCAATTGGACCCAATAGTAATGGCAAGAGATAATAAACACTGAATTATACCATACCACTTCATGGAATCCTTGTTCAATAGAGGGCCACATTTTAATGTAAACAGTTGTACTCTTGAACAAGCTTCAGACAGATGGAAAGCAACACAAAGTAAACAAAAGATGAAGGACTGTACACTGTGCAATTTATGTTAGCAATTGTCACTTTACTATCACGAATAGGGCGGTGGCAGCTAACACCAAAGCTGCAGAAAGGCAAGGCTAAGGACTGTTCTGCATTATGCAACTCAGAGATTGGTCACATACAGGTACCATATTTCTGAAACTTCAGACAGGTGAGACTTCAGAGCGAGTTCCCAACCAAACCTTCACTTCAAACAGGATGAGACTTTAAACAGAATTTTCACAGCTGTTTAGAAACATTAAAACTCACAGCACAAAATCTGTTCCTTTGTGAGTATGTCAATTACGTGGACATGTCATATATCGGGACACCAATTAACTGAAGCTGACTGAATTAGGATTAATGGGTCCCATCCTGTATGTTTATACATTACATGCAGGTGGCTAGGAACCGTCATTGACTAAGGTTAAGCCCTACACGTTCCTGTAATAAAACACAAGCAAAACACACATTACCACAAAAGTAATCTTTGAATTTTTATTATACCCATACTAAAATCAACATAATTAACCGTCTTTCTTCGCTGGAAAAAAGCAGCATTCCCTTGCAAAAATACTACTGACGTATTACTGGTTTTGAGATCTACATATTAACCTTCTACCACACGTATGTATTTGTGATGAGACATCCCTGTTCTGTATGCACTTTATCAAAATAAACTCAGCCAGCTGCAGCTGTGAATTGCATATTTCAGTGTATCTATAAAAATGTTGTTAGCTTTCCCCCACCCTTTCTAAACTACTTCTCACAATTTTAGGAAAAATTATTTAAAGCACCTTAAATTGTGCTGATGAGTGAGACAGATGGATATAATAATCTCCAATTTCCATAGCTAAGAATTCATTCCCTCTTACTTTAAATGCAGAGTAGCGTGCAAAATAACACATCAGCCTCTTGAGAAATGGACAGTAACTCCATGAAATGCAGATTATAGTTTAATAGAGGTTTCTGTAGCACAGACACTGTACACAAACACTGACGTGACAGATGCCCTATATATAACTAAGAAAGAAACATTATGCATCATTTAAGACTGCTGCATTCAACCAGAACAGGATTTTGTCCCATTATATTCCAGAAAAATCAAACCTTGCAAGAGGTCCTGAAATCCTTCCTAGCTCTGTTCAGCAGATATTTCTCCCAAATATACACATTTATGAACGGGGCACTCAAAAAAGACTCCGGAAATTGGCTTAAAAAGCAAGAGCCTTTAAAAAAAACGTGGAGCTTTTTCCTTTGCCTTTAGCTTTTTGTTTGTTTAGTCTTTTTGGATTATGCACATTAGCCTGTCTTCAAAACCAGGAGAGTTAGATCCTTCTGTTTTCAGACATTACCTGACAAACATATAATAATTTGATCTCAGGATCTTAGGCTTAAGGGGGGAAAAAAAAAAATTAAACGTTTGTAGGGCTCATAAGAAAATCAAGAGCATTGGCAGCATCAGATAAGGCAAGGGTCTTTTGCAAACAGGCCCTGCCTTCAAACCACCATTTACTTAAAAGCAATCCATTTTTACCCTAGGCGTATTCAAAAGTTTCTTTTAAAATCCTAATTCTACACACGCTACTGTAGTAGTAAGAGGTAAGTTTCTACAGCAAAATATCTATTTCTGTATCACGTAGAAAGCTATGGCTATTATTATGGGAGACGGTATTTTTTATGTACATTAAAGCAATTTACCTATCTTGTTGTTATCAGAGATTATGAAGAAAAGGTCAGGGATGGTTTTGGAAACTTCCCTCCTCCTCAAGTAACATTTCTTGTTATACTTTTAGAAAAAAAGTGACTCCCATCAAAGCTAACAGCACAATCAGAGAACAAAAATCAGCCATAGTACTGGTTTAATACGCAGCAGCTGCCAACCATGACTGAAGAGCGAACAAGCCTTCTGACCCTTTGGTACAAGGCAGCAATCTTCACCAGCAGATTGGTGAATATTTGGGGAAATATTTGAGGTAATACCCCTTCAATTGCTGCCAGTAAACCAAACAGGGTTTGCCAACCAAAACTTTCAGTCTAAGTTGCTGGGCCTAGTCACTATGCTTATATCCACATTAGCAAATTAAACGCGCCTGGGACCAGTCTGTGACCCTAAGGCCAACTGGCAGAGGACACCCCACATCTATTTCTATTAAAGCCTGCAAAAGATGGTGACAGCATACAACCTGCCTATTGAGAATATCCTTATTACGTCTCCCAAACTGTGTCCCAGAATGTTTCGGGGTTCTGCTTATTGGCCTAGGCTAAAACTGTTCTCACAAGATTGTAGTAGAAACAACTTGAGCTCCAGCATTCAGAAATGTCCCTGATGCTGGTGAATTTACTGGTACTGGCGGAGTTTTGAAGAGCCTGCAAATTTCTCGCAGCTCAGATGTGCTAATATCCTCACCAGACCCGTACTGTAATAGGTGGCATGTGTACACACAGTGGCGTTTCTTGCCCTAATAGCCCACACTCTCGGATGCACTGGATGAACGCTCACAGTCAGGCCTGCTAAGCAATCCCCTACAGCAACTTCGGATGTTATCATCCCTGGCTCCTTCCTATCGCCCACACACCAGGACTACTGCCCCTATACATGCAGTGGAGCTTTTAAGACTTCTTTGTTGCAAAGTCTGGTAGCTTCCTTCAGTTGCAGTGAAAAGAAGCCGGAAAGGGGTAATGTCCTAAACCAACACTGCTGTTTCCTAAGAAAGGCTGTGCTGAAGCCTTGAGTTTACCAGGGCCCATGCTCAACACGGTTTTTCTGTCTGAAGGCACTATGAGTACTTTTAGCTATTGTACCTAATCAACTTCCAGCAAAGTTTTAAGTATCAGTGGAAGGAACCCTACCAATTTTGAGAGAAAACAATCAAATCAGAACAGTGAAATACAGAAGTAGCTGAAATATTTAAAAACAATTGCTGAAATGCTTTAGTTAATATAGTGGTTGGGAGCATTTGCCGGCATCTGTCAGTATCATAACGTCCAATTTCACCCCTGTAAACCCATCCAAGAGTTTTTAATATGTTGATACCCCAAATGACTCGCCTCCCATAGAAAAAGGAAACAGACTGGGGAATTCTAGAAAGAAAAGGAACTGAGACCATACACAGAACTGGGAATAGTTAATTGCATAATAACTATAGAAAAAGCAGAAAATCAGGGGGGCTGGGCAGAAAGGAAAAGTAGGAATGTATACAAACGCTGGTATAGGAGAGAAAATGCAGGGAACCAGTGGTGCTACAAGGAGGAAAAAAACAACGTGCTCAACTCACTCAGTCTACAGAAACTATGAGATGTTGCAAAATTAACTTTAAAAGACAATCCAGGCTTGAGGATGTATTTTTACAAATTACAAACTTAAGGGCTTGCACTTGTATCCAAAAAATCCATGTTCTCACCTATCCAGGGCAAATACACAAAATAAAGCTGCTTTTGCATTGCACAAAAGCAATTGTTTGGAATGACACTACCATCTGGTGGTCAAAAAAAAAATGCAGTTATGAATACATCACGAAGATATATTTGGAGGCGGCCCTAAAAAACTAAATTCCCAAATCATTCCTAGCTAAAAAGTAAGGCAATTCCCACCAATTTTCTGTTTATCCCTTTGGAGAAGCAGCTCTTCAGGGCCAACATTCACTGTTAGTGCATGGAAGAGAGTTCCCAGACTCCAGTCACTAGACGTGACTTTAATATAAGTATTTAATAAAAGCTGCAATATCATCTGAAGGAAAGAAAAATGAAAGAGAACTTTTCCTCGTCAGACGATGCATAAGTAGCCCAAGTCGACCACATCCATACTTGTACACGTTATCACCAGTACCTTCAAAACTGAGAGGATGAAGCTGTGGTCATAGCAGAAAATAACAGCCTATATAGGCATTAAAAGCCAGCTGAGAGATGTAGCATCCTTTCTGTAACCAGGTCCACATATTCCTACTCTCTCCTTTCTAAAAAATATTGAAAGTAGGGTGCAAATATGCAGGGATATGGACTTACTGGGATGAAGGCAGTAATGTGTGGAGGACCTTCAATTACTTAGCTGGGAGCCCGCAGGAAATACAACAATGAAGAATAGAGATTATTGTGGTGGCGACATCCCTAAGAAATAGGGGCTGAAGTTACTACAACAACGAGTACAGATGACGTAGGACACAAAGCTAGAGAAAATCAGGCTTCATTAATTCAGCTGCTCAAAGAAGTTGTTCTTATGCATCTGTATCTAGAGCATAAGGGAGAAAACATTTTAAGGCTGAGAAGGGAAGATTTGATATAGACTGTAACGGTATGATTTTCAGATGTTGGCATCTCTGTTTTTTAGCACATTCATGTTTAAAGCTTCTAGGATTCACAAACGTTACTTAAATCATTACCACTTAAGAGTAAGCTCCTTGTTTCCCAGAGCAACAGCTGCCAACTCCAAAGTGGTACCCTTATTATTCTGACCTTTGCTTATAACAGGACATTCCTTCATTTCACCCCAAATCTGAAATACTTAAAAGATATAGCTGTTTTTTCCTTTATAGTACAGTAAATTGAAACACAGTACTCCACCGGTTGCTGAGAAAAGCAAGTGCTTCAATTCAAGGTTTTCATGAGAGGTAACTCAGTCATTATGTCCCCTGCCTTATGTCACATATATTTCTTCACATCTAATCCTGTACAAATGATAAAGATTAAATATTAAATACGGTGGCATTTTCTTCTTTCCTCTCCTTACATTATCACAGCTCACCTGTTTTTTTTGTTTTTTGTTTTCCCTCCTCCCTCTCCTCTCCCTGTTAAAAATATCCCTTCTTCTCATACCCAAATGACCCTCTTGGGAGTTAGACATCTTAAATCCACCCCAACATCTCAAAAGATCATTATTTACAATACTTCTATGCTCCTGCAAACAAACAAGAGCTTTTCATGCTGCTCCCTCCTAAGAGGAGCAATTTTGTTTTTTTCATCTTTGATCTTTATGGTAGACTGACTGTCAACTAAAAGTAAGGGTTTGATTTTATTGCTTGGAAGCAATACACTTATGCATTGTCTCCTTGCAAGAAATACACTACGTAGATAGCGTTCGGTCAAGAGTCATTCCTGCAAGGTCTGATAAAACTATTATCTATGGTGCCACCTTGTGGAAAAAACACTGGTAAAGGGGCTTCTAGAAATACTGAACACTTGGCTCCCCTTGCAGGTGCGTTTAACTGCTTACATGCAATAGATGCTGCTAACCACCATCAGCAGTCCTTCAGTTTTATAGATTGTTAAACTAGGGTTTTACCACTCCAAAAAAGAGACACCGTCACGGCTATCCTCCAGGTAGTGACAGGGGAAACTAAAAGCAGACCAATATAAAGGATTATTGAAAGGTAAAGCCTTATGAAAACAAGGTGTTCTTTCCAAATAGCGCAAATTAAAGGATACACAGCACAACCTTTCAGACGCTCAAGAGCACATGAATTGCTATTTCTCCCTCTCCCACCCCGAAAATCCTTGCGGAGAGGACAACCTCTTCCAGACACAGAGCTGCAAATTAACACCACAGGTAGAGATGAAAGGAGAACAGCCCACAGCATAACAGCAACAGGACATATCTATGCTGACCAGTATATTCTGGGTGCATCTCTCCCAGTAACCAGACATAAAACCATATCCTACAGGAGGACAGCGCCTATTTTTCAGGCCCAGCCCGAGGCTGATGTTCAGGGCCTGCTGTGAAGCCCAACGCTCCCACCTTCGGCAGCATGAGGGCGGCACCTATTTTTAGCTCTCCTTCCACTGGAGAAGCCCAAGGAACAGCCACCTCCTCCTGGTCGCCTCCCAAACGCGGTTCCCCCTTTCCTCCCCACCCCCAACCCGAGTGCGAGGAAGAGACTGAAGTAACCACCGCACCTGCGGTTTGCAAAGCGAAGCTCCCAAGGACCAAACAAACACACAAACAAACAAAAAAAACCCTTTAAAAGCCTAATTCGCCCCTAGAGCGAGGCAGGCGGCAGCCCGCGAAAGGCGGAGGCGGGCAGGGGCGCCCCGGCACCTCACGGCACCTCACCTCAGCGCTCACCTCACCTCACCT